ATATATATATATTAAATATACATGTAGTCTTTTTTTGATAGGTAAGGTATTAGCATTTGGAACAGATTAGCAATGAGTATTGATCGGTTACCAACAGATCAATCATTTTATGGTTATTATCCTTGGATATCTCTAGTTAGTTGATTGTTTTCAATAGAGACTGGTAGCGTAATATAATATACAAGCAATATAAATAATAAAAAAAGAAAATTAGTTAATTCGTGTATCGCACGTTAGAGGGACCCGGATATATCAACAAACAAGCTAATTGGAAAGGGAACAAGTAAAAGTGGCACATTCCACCAAACTCAACATATAGCCTTGACTTCGATCACTCTGCATTTTCTGAACGTATTTTAGCTGTTTTTAGATCGCTTGGATATTATTGAATGGCTTAGGCGTAATATACACGAAGTACAGAGAGGATATACCTCACACTCTCTTTTAAATTAACGGGGATTCTTCCCCCTCACATTTTGAAAGCACTAGTAGTGAGTTACAGTATACGCCAACATTTCTTTATCCCCTCCATTTTCGAAACTAAAGTAACGTCCTAGCCGGATGATGGCGCTTTTCTCAAAAGTTTTTGCTTTCGAACTGATGGCCAAGAAACGATTAACTACATCGATAGCATTAAGGAATACCTCAGTACATTTACAATGTGTCGAAAACTTTGAACAGAAATTTCGTATTCAAATATTTTTTTACTCAAAAGTAAGGTTTAAGAAAACGGTTCTAATTTTTTTCTTTTTCCTTCCACAGAAAGGTTTGTAGGAATTGTAAGTGTCCCAGAGAGGATCATGGTGGCGCAATGACGTCTGCCAGCATGGCGGAAACTGAACGTATCGCCCATAAGATGGCGCTGCCCTTTGGCAGTAATAATGATGCACAACAACGTCATTCTCAATCCGATGACGACAGCGGTTGTGCACTAGAGGAATATACCTGGGTACCCCCAGGTTTAAAACCAGAACAGGTAAGATAGATATTTAGCATTGAAAAATAGTAAAGTTATCAGGAATGTATTAATTCTTAATGTAAAGTTGGGTCTCACTTTCATCAATTGTTGCACGGTTATTTAATCATTTACAGTTTATGTAATGATATTGACTTTCAATAAATTCGAAATATTTTATGTCTTAAATTTAATTAAACTTAGAAAACAGTGATAAAGCCTTTTATTGTGGTGTGAACGCCTTCTTCAAGCTGGCGAAGCACGATCATTAAACTACTTGTGATTAGACATTAGTATTAAGCCTATTTTATTTTTTTAACACTGTATTCTCTAACAAGCCCATTAGGGACTAAATAAAGAGTGCAGTGTTAAAAATATAATAGGCCTAATGCTAATGTATAATGTCATATAGGGCCTTTCGATATTAATATAAATATTTTGGTGTAGGTCAGTGTGGTGTCGTCATTTTGTGGATAGAGATTAAAACAAGAGTTTCATTAAACGTTTAACACATTTTGGATGAACTTTTAATTAAGATGTTATTATCTTGAACATAAGTCATTTCAAACAGAAAAGAGAAGTAATTATATTGAAACGTTTTGTTTGTTTTTTTTGCTCATTAGTTTGCCTAAGTAATTTGTATTTGACAAATATTCGCATGTGATTTTTTTTCTGTTATGTAGCACGTCAGTAGCTACAGAGAGTTAATCGCACTTTTTAATGCGATAAGAGATAATTCCGGTTTCACGTTAATGGATTTTTAAGTTGGAGAGTTAGTTTTCTTAACCTTACGGGTGAGGACATTGCTTCGGACTGGATAAGGATGTTATTTAGGTGACGATGATGCCATGAAGGTTCTGCTGTGTATATTTTCCTTCTTCCGTTGACAACACCGAAAATAACCTTCACTGAAATGTTATGCTCTTTGGCTTTACGTCGTTTACCAATCCCCGTATATGAATACTATTTATTGTAAAGAGTTGTGATATATATAGTCCTACAGGCGTAAGTCTATTCGTGGCTGTATTGCTTTGGAGAATACTCACTAATTCGCCATGTACAGAAAAAAAACAAAAAACAATGTCGCCTGTGTCGCCACGACTCGCGCCTGCGATGACACTTTACTTAAATAGCATATACATGCTTTATAATAAACAATAATTTGATGAAACAGTTCACAGTTTCCATGAAATCAACATCTGTTGTTATGAGATAATCCAAGAAACTTTAATCACGGTCATCTTATTCTACCACGTACCTCGAAAGTCCCTCGATGATTTTTGTGCCTTTTGGTCTATAAATGTATTTTGTGTTTTTGTATTTACGGCAAAGCTATTAGAGGTGTGTATTTCATCATAGTAGTCGATACGATACGTGTCTAGATACAGAAGTTTTACCAAAGTTTGACAGTCTTGTCTGTAATTTATTATCTATACTACTAACATTGTCTTATTTAAGTAC